AGGACGTTGGGGTCATCCATGTTCACCAGGTGGGAGGCATCTCGCCCTCCAATGCGGTCGTAGTGGATCTCACTGCAAGGACCACAGGGGCCAGTATCTCCCATCTCCCAGAAGTTGTCCTTCATGCTGCCTGGCAAGATGCGCGATTCCTCCATGCTGACGGTGAGAGATTACCTCATGAGTGATTTTATTTCTCCAGTCAGTGCTATTCATTTGCTACAACACAAAGAAAATAGATGTGTTGCTGTCTTACGCACTCCCTGTGAATACAAAACAATTCAATCCATCTTTATTCATATAGCACTTTCACAACATATACTTTTACAGAACATTTAATGTGAAATAACAAAAATAATACAACAGAACACATACCATAAAACATGGACAATAATAGAATTATAACAACAGTTCCTGCATACGGCTTGTTTTTTTTAATCAGTTATAGATGAAAGAGGAGAGACTGAAAGTCTCCTTTTCACCCGTGGATCAGAGACGTCATGATCACAGCGTGCATGATGTCACACACGTCTACAACAAGCTAAGTCTGAAAGTGAACGAGAAACGGCGGTGTCCACTGACCAATACAGAGATTGATTCAATTCTCCTGTCCCATTTAGATCCACTTCAACTTGGTTAAAAATACACCACCACGCTTCAACAGTCCACAACGTATAACAACAAACCCCATAAGACAAAACAAATGACAAAAACAACAAGAAAGCAGAACTCTTGCAGACAACTGCCAACCACGGCACCGTAATTTATGTGTTACAGATTTTAATACCATGTTTGAATCGACTCTGCCGGAATGCTAAAATACATCACTCACCCAAGAGACATCCAGATTTCTTTGCACTCCAAGTCGGCCTCCAGGCCTGCGTCATCATTGCCACCGAAATAGGTGACATAGAGGCGGTCAATGGAAATGCCAAACTCCTCGGTCAGGAGCTCCAGGGCCATCTTACAAGCCAGATGCTGCAGCACGCAGTGGTAGGGAAACAAAAAGACCAGGTGAAATGACAAAAAAAATAAAAATAAAATAGACGCATTTAAATTTCGTGTTTCTCCAGAAATGAATTGCCAGCAAGCTGTGAAAGGCAATAAAGATTCATTCAGTGAAAATGCGAACAATGGCGCAAGGTTTTTGCCGCCGAGCTAACTCAAGGACAAGGTCCTGCTGTGTTACGACTGCTATTGTCATTGAATATTTAATGCCAAAGTGGTTGCCTCACATATTGACAGCATCCTACCTTAAAGTAGTCGCCAAAAGACCAGGATCCCAACATCTCGAAGAATGTGTGGTGGTAAACGTCTTTACCCACATCGTCCAGGTCGTTGTGTTTTCCTCCTGCACGGATACACTTTTGGGTGTTGGCTGCGCGACGTAGCCTTGCCATGGGGTGGGATGGATCAATAGTGTTGAGGAAGATGGGCTTGAACTAATAGAAAGAGAGAAATGTTTAAGGCCGTCAATGAAAACATCTTTTGGCAGAGTGAGGTACATGTGGCCGAGACATGGGCAGTTCACCTGGTTCATGCCCGCATTGGCGAACAGCAGCGTGGGGTCATCCAGCGGGATGGTGGATGAAGAGTGCACGTACTGGTGCTCATAGCGATTGAAGAAGTCTATAAACTTCTGGCGGATTTGAGCGGCACTCAAAGAAGAATCCATTCCGAATCTTCTTTCTAGAACAAAGAAGAATTGATCCTGATGACAACATGAAAATAGTTTTCTAGATAGCATTTGATATCATTTTTCCTCACAGCAGTGATTACTTAAACCCCTTTGATTAATCATTAAAAATGTTAAGACAGAACATTAATTGAACTCCTTTTCCATGAAATATTTAAAGATTCCCGCCGGCCGTCAAGTAGGTGTGTGTTCAGGCAAGCCTCTTGCAATGCTTTCTTTCTGCTTATTTCAGGCCTACAAATTAGCCTTGGGCACTTTTTGACAATTGGTTGCTCTGGAATCTAGTAAAGCAGATGAGGCCTAGATGCCGCAGCACTCTGCTCTCTAATTTCATATAATTAACATCAAAGGAAACGTCAAAAATAATAAAATACCCTTCTTCTGGCCTGAACATACCCATAAGGGCGACAAAGAATGTTTTTCAAGGGAAAGCATTATTAAGACTAAAATAAGACTAGCCTCAACAGTTGCAGTAAGAAATAAACGGCATGTCCCCACAACTACTAAATGGAACGTTAAGAACCATAACCACGTAAGATTTGCAGTGATCAGTGTGCTCTTTGTTAAAACTTTTAAGTTAAAAGCCATTACGAGTAATGTCCCTGGGATGTTATTTATTCATACGCTGGGGCGCAAAGGAAAGCAAGCAACTGAAGCCTGGAGATCTCTTGGGCCCGCGGGGGAAAAGGGGCCCGCTCCTGACAACTAAACCACGCCAAGGCTGACAACCACTGCATGAGTAAATTCACAGTTAATGGGAGGGAAACTACTGCGTCGGGGAACAACAGGGCAATCATAAGCAAAGTGCAGCAAAATGCTCATAGTGATGATGCAGTCTGAAGTGTGCACCTTAATGCTTAGTAAGTACCGCCAGTACGTTTTGAAACACAGTAAGGTAAGAGATTAACAGTGTTGCTCTTGTTTCGGATTTAAGTATCTCGGCGGGAATGTGTAGTACGGAAACGTAACACAAATCGGCAGTTGGATGGCTCACAACGCCAAGTGCTCGTGCGAACCGGTGTACCGCACTGGAAGCCGCTCAGCAGCTGGCTGCTCCTACTGCTGGACAGCGGCACCAACTTCACAATCTCACGTCAGCCAGCTAATTGTTAGCTACGCCGGCTAGCTCACTGCAGTCCACCGCCGATATTTCACAAAACTTCAATTCGGCGGACCTCGCGAGTTCAGACTGCATGTTTATGATTTCAAAAGCCGCAAGGGCATACGTTGGTACTCACAGAAGCAGCTAATGTCGCAGAATGCCTTGTTTATCGGATCCCAAACACACCACCGTGTGAGTGCCCACGCTGCTGGTCCAGAATGCAGTGGAACTACTGGAACACGCCCGAACTGAACGCCGATTGGCCCACGCGCTCCACGTGTCATCAAATCTCGATTCTCATTGGTGAGATTGACATTCAATCTTAGCCGTCTACCATTCCACTGAAACCAAAATCTTGTTCGGCTGATGCAACTGAAAACTCAAATGAGTGAATGCTGAAAGTACGTTGTTAGTTATGGTGTATATGTATATAAAATACATGTAGAAAATTAATTGGAAGACTAATGTTTGACTTTAAATCACAGAATGTGAAACATCACAACAGCATCAAGTTTCATTAATTAGACACATTCGCTTAGAGTCCGAACTTTGTATTCTGTTGCATCACTTTTTAATGTAGACTAGTACTGCAACTTCAATAGGAGAGAACTACAATTTAATACCATGAATGTCACTTATATTTCATCCAATGGGTTTTCTCATAATTCATTGCTGTGTCTATGTTCAAGACTGGTTGAATTGTTTGTCGTATTTAGTAATAAGTATGCCTCAAATTAGTAATGCTTCGGAGATGTGTTAATTGTGCACAAATGTGAAATGGGGTGTGGGTAATTAATTGATTCAGCGTCATTTTGACATTTCAAATATTGGATAAGTTACTTGTTCATAAAATCTGTTGTACATAATTGATCAACAGATTTGTTTAAACATAGCCTTCTGAGGCTAATTGTGCAAGACCTCCTGAAATTCTGTTCCACAATAGCTGTTCCCGATTTCTGAAAAGTGAGAGCTGGCCTGGAGAAAAATTACAAAATTACAACGATCAAACTCAGTAAACTAAGTCCATATGTTGGAAGGTTAGCAGTAACAGGTCGGTCCGGTTTTACATTAGATTTGGGTGACAACACAAACATCTCTGTTCATATGATGAAATATTTTGAGGGAGTTATTAAAAACTGGATCACCATACAGATTTAACCCACCTCTCGGTGAAGTCTCCTGCCCTTTGAGATTGATGCCACCTGCAGAACATTCATCCTTATGCATTTCACCCAAGCAAAGAGCATTGTAGAGGTGATGCTACCTACTACTTTCAAAGCAGGGATGTCGGCAGATTGCTCTCGCCGGTGCCTTCCGCACAGAAAGAGGGACTTTAACAGACAGTGTGAACAAACACAAATGCAGCATTTTTATTTTTCATTGTGGGTAACAACTCAGCCTCAATGGAGGCCTGCACTCTGCTGCTCGAATCAAAATGAAATGACATTCATCCATGTATTCATTTTTTTTCATGCCTCTTAAGCTGGAGTCTTTGGGTGAGAGGCAGTCTGGACTGGTTGCCAATTGCAGGGCACATTCAAACAAACAAAAACAAAATCTTCATTGAATTTTACATGCATGTTTTTGTAACCGAAGAGGAGACCAGTGTACTGGAAGAAAATCCACACAAGCACAGAAAAACAAGCAAATGCCAAAGAAGATGCCTTCAGCCGAGTCAAATCTCAGAATTATGAGGCAAACACGTTAACCACTAGGCTTACCATGTTGTGCTCGCCTGCTATTGGAGTTCAAATCAACATGAAGTGATTACAAGAGAGAATAGAGTACTTGAAAAGAAACATAATTCCTATACCTGCTATATATCTTATCAAATTTGGTTTTGGTATTAAAAGCAAGTATAATAATTTTGTAGAAGGTCCAATGTCCTCGTAAGGTACCATTTCATCTCCCCCAAAATGTTGCGAATTAACTTTATGTTCACTGAATTGAGTGTTAAGTCGAACAGCAAAATATGTGAGCTTGCTGACAGGGTGGACTTTTTTGGGGCTAATGTTGGCAATTATGAGCACATGGTGGACATTTAGTAAACATGATTCATTGGTAACCTGTTTATCAAGTATATTTCTAATCATATATATTTATCTATTAATTACATCAATTGATAACCTACTATGACAGAGTGGCCATGTTAAGATTCACAACATGCAACTCCACTCATAATCTGAACAAAAATTACAAAGCATTCCGATAAGTGTCAAGATTTATTCTGCGATTGTACACTGTTTCAGACTCACTTGAAGAAAGACGAAATGGTGGTCACAATGTGAATGAAAACATGAGAAGGTTTCTTTAAGGGACAGTTACCCCTTGATGACAGCTGCACAGACACATGCAAAATTTTATCCAAATTTATTTATTCAAATTGATAGTAGGACTTCAGAGTTTCATTATACAAATTCATATACATGATGACTGTGATTTTGAGGAGGAGACAAAGGCATTTTAGAGTGATATTGGCCCATAAAACGATAAACTTCAGTCAACTCTCCGATGGCGGGGGCGCCGCCCTTCGCACTGCCTTCGCCAGAGCTTGTTGGATGACTGGATATATCTTATAGCACCCCTCTATGCAGGTGCGTACTCCAGCAGAGAGACTCTCTTCAGTCATTTCTCCATCAGACTGCAGCCCAGAAACCTGGTTCAAGCTAGGGAGGAACGCCAGAGTCAATCTTCCCTGATTGTCGCTACTGTCTGAGCCATTTCCGTTTTCCTCCGCGTATGTCGGGTCGACCACATAAGAGGCCCCATCCTGGCGGATTGCGCAGCCAAGCACCAGGTCGTACATTTCGATTCCCGCATCAGCTAGTGCGAGCGATGCGCAGGTGACAGCGTGCGCTAGAACTGAGCCGCTGTTTTCAAGAACCATCACATTGACCTCTATCTGAGAGCGGGGGTATTTGTGGAGGCACAAGGCGGGCTGCAGACTTTCGTGCAGCATCAAGGAGAAGTCCTTGTCCTGACTCCCTTGAATCCAGGAACCTCTCTCCGGGCAAGAGAATGGAGCAAACCGCATATCTGTTGTCAACCTGGTTACACAAAAAACAAGTTTTTGATGTGTCACTTTGCTCTATCATTTCAATAATCAATTATAATAATCTCAGAAGTAAAATAATTGTCAAGATGTTTCTGTACATCATAAAGATATTTATTAATTACCATAAAAGTGCATTGTTGTTGACAACCACAAAATATTCCATTAGGCATTTGCCAAATTTTATGAGGAGCGTATATTTATCCATTCCTGTGCAAAGAACATCCATGGAGCTGAAACTTGGACCTCAGACATCAGAACTGTGAGGCAGACATGACAACCCGCGATTCTAAAGTGCTGCGAGTATTGTTGTCAACCTGGTTACACAAAAAACAAGTTTTTGATGTGTCACTTTGCTCTATCATTTCAATAATCAATTATAATAATCTCAGAAGTAAAATAATTGTCAAGATGTTTCTGTACATCATAAAGATATTTATTAATTACCATAAAAGTGCATTGTTGTTGACAACCACAAAATATTCCATTAGGCATTTGCCAAATTTTATGAGGAGCGTATATTTATCCATTCCTGTGCAAAGAACATCCATGGAGCTGAAACTTGGACCTCAGACATCAGAACTGTGAGGCAGACATGACAACCCGCGATTCTAAAGTGCTGCGATTATTTTCATCATAAAAGTTGTTCAATGAACAATGATTTGTTTAACAATGATTTTGTTTAACAATGATTGTTAAACAAAACAATCATGTTTAAATGATAAGAAAGTAATCGCAAATGAAAAAGCTTGAATTGAATCTAAGAGGAAAGCATAACTGAATCAAATTTGACATCTCACGTAGGGCCTACAATGACAAACAAGCATTTTGAACATACCCCCCCCTAGAAATGACAGCACCCAAAACCTTTTACAAGGACTAAAGGACAACAATGACTCCCGTTAAAGAAAACTATTATCGCGATAAATTAAATTCAAATGTATTGAAGTGAGCCAACAGAAATCAACCTGGTTACAAATTTTTGTTTTTTGGGTTGATTGTTTTTTAACCACAATGATTTCATGAGCGACAGATCGTCGTCGGGGTTAAAAAATGTTTTAAACTACAGAAAATGAAAATAATTACCTCCCACACTTCATATCGGTGTCATCTTTACGTTCCGTTTCTCTGGGACCGTACACGCAGCACATCAACTTGGTGTCTCCAGCCTCCATGTACGCGGAGCCCTTCGCCTGGCTCACGAGCCCACACCTGACAAAAACAGGCCGGACGTCCACCTGGTCCCGCTGCCGACCGTCTGCTCGGGGGCCATGTGAGGAGAAGACTGCCGCCGGCTTGCACGCGAACAATAACGGACTTTGGGAGACCTCTGGGCCGCGAACTCTTCTGGTGTCAACAGGCATGGTGGTACGGATGCAGTCGGTTTAAAGTCCACCACATATAAATGTCCTCCTGGAACACAAAAAACAGATATCTGGTTCCGGCAAGTGACGCTATTTCTCTAAAATCATTATGTTGAAACGGAAACGCACAAATTCAACTTACGTTACTTTGTATTGTCACGTATACTAGATACTTTTTGCACTTAGTATTGTATTATTGCAGCTTGTTTAAAAATACACATGGGCGAAATTGTGTATGTCACGTGTGCTGTGTTTAAACTCCAACTTTGATCAACTTTCGTCAACTCAGGCTGACGAAATCCTCATCAAGATTTGTCAACTGATGAAGCCTTCTTTGATGAGAGGCGAAATATCTTCGAAGACAACCAGAACAGTCCAGTTGTGATGGGTTCAGCGCCCTGAGAATGTATTGACCTGAATGAATGATAATATCCAGGCTTTATAACAATCGGGGGTTACGAGGTCATTACTTCACCATCGTTGGTCTGAAAAAGGGTGATAGCGTTTTTTTTTTTTTGCTTCATACACAAGGGGTGAGCATGAGAGGGGGGGCCTTAAAAAGTGTGACCTGCTCCAGTACTTTGCTTTGATGATTTGTCAAAGGCAAATTAGTCAAATACCTGCAGTGACGTCCTGTGTGACACGAAGTGATCCTCACTGATTGGCTGGGTGAGAATGTTTTTGTTTTTTTTTAATCTTTTTAATAATCTCTTAGGCGCCAGTTTTGCACAACTGATCAAGTGTGGCAAATCGCCAATTTCGTCTTTGGTTAAGTGAAGACTCTAATTGCTCTTTGATATGAATACTGTAGTTGTTTTCTCTTGTGCGCTGCTGCGATATGCTGGTCTTGTCCATGGTCCGCCCCGCTTCTTGCCCAATCAACTGGGATAGGCTCAGCTCAAGCCACTTAAAAATACGCACGCGCAAAACTTGACTTGCCTGCAGGGAGCGGAGACACCAGGAAGACCGCTCACAACTAGCCGTTACCTAGCGACCATCGACATGGACTTGATGCCGGAGAGTATTAGACTGCAGATCTTCAAGATTGGACTCGTGGACGCTTTCATCTCCCCTCCAAAGACTGTCGTTCAAGAATCCACGGCCCCGCAGCTGCAGGAGATGGAACTTCGTTCTGATAACAGCGACATGGATGAAGGCGCCCAGCCGCTGCCGGAGCTCCAAACCCCTCCCGGCCAAGGGATCTTGGACAGCGACACAAGGCGACTCATCAGCCGCTTCCTCAGTGACTTTACCGGGCTGTCCACTGCTGCTTGGATCCAAAGCAAAGCCCAGTCTACAATGAAGAGGGTCGTGATGAGACTGGTGGACAAGCACAGAATCTTATTCAATAGTAAGCTGAAATGCTTTCTTTACTGTTCTTCGATTCACTTTTTACGAACGCGTTGCTCTTTGATGTTCTTTGATCCGATTCAACCGTTAGGCTACCAATATGTCTTTTTTTAAACAGTTTTTGCTTGCCTATTCAATCTAAAAAAGTAGAATATTGTTCTTTTACTGCATACACGAATATGAGTTGTTACCATTAATATAAAATCTGAATTAATTTGTATTTTATAACACCTGACATTCTAAACGGACAATCTACAAAAAGTAGACTACCACATTGATATATTTAAAGAGCTGATGTGTGAAATAAAATAGGGTTTATAAATACTGGAGGTAATCAAATAAATAGGATTCTGAATATGTGTGTTTTACAATTTGAATTTCCTTTTGTCTTCAAGACAGCATCAACGAACTGTCACTGGACGAAATAGGGCTCGACATTGTCAGCCAGGTGCCCCAAACGGAATTCGCCAATGGGAACATTAACTGGGGTCGCATCGCCAGCCTGTTGGCCTTCTGTGCCGTGCTGTCTCAAGCCTTGAAGGAAAATCAGCAGGAGAGCTGCGTGGAACTGGTGGCCCAGGAGGTCTCGACCTACTTGCTGTCACACCAGCGCACCTGGCTAGTGCAGCACAACGGTTGGGTGAGTAACATGCCAAAAGTGCCCCATTTGATTTCTGAAGTGCACACACTCATCAACTCATCGTCCTATTCTATCTTTTTGTCTGATAACAGCGACATGGATGAAGGCGCCCAGCCGCTGCCGGAGCTCCAAACCCCTCCCGGCCAAGGGATCTTGGACAGCGACACAAGGCGACTCATCAGCCGCTTCCTCAGTGACTTTACCGGGCTGTCCACTGCTGCTTGGATCCAAAGCAAAGCCCAGTCTACAATGAAGAGGGTCGTGATGAGACTGGTGGACAAGCACAGAATCTTATTCAATAGTAAGCTGAAATGCTTTCTTTACTGTTCTTCGATTCACTTTTTACGAACGCGTTGCTCTTTGATGTTCTTTGATCCGATTCAACCGTTAGGCTACCAATATGTCTTTTTTTAAACAGTTTTTTCTTGCCTATTCAATCTAAAAAAGTAGAATATTGTTCTTTTACTGCATACACGAATATGAGTTGTTACCATTAATATAAAATCTGAATTAATTTGTATTTTATAACACCTGACATTCTAAACGGACAATCTACAAAAAGTAGACTACCACATTGATATATTTAAAGAGCTGATGTTTGAAATAAAATAGGGTTTATAAATACTGGAGGGAATCAAATAAATAGGATTCTGAATATGTGTGTTTTACAATTTGAATTTCCTTTTGTCTTCAAGACAGCATCAACGAACTGTCACTGGACGAAATAGGGCTCGACATGTCCTTCGTCAGCCAGGTGGCCAGAACGGAATTCGCCAATGGGAACATTAACTGGGGTCGCATCGCCAGCCTGTTGGCCTTCTGTGCCGTGCTGTCTCAAGCCTTGAAAGAAAATCAGCAGGAGAGGTGCGTGGAACTGGTGGCCCAGGAGGTCTCGACCTACTTGCTGTCACACCAGCGCACCTGGCTAGTGCAGCACAACGGTTGGGTGAGTAACATGCCAAAAGTGCCCCATTTGATTTCTGAAGTGCACACACTCATCAACTCATCGTCCTATTCTATCTTTTTGCTCATCAGGATGGATTTGCAGAATTCTTCAAGGAAGATGACCTGGAGTCTTCAGTGAGGAATGTCCTCTTAGGCTTTGTCGGTTTGGTCAGCATCACTGCAGCGCTACGCTGTCTGATTAGATGAACACCGTGGACATTTGAGATGCGACGTTTCACTCTTGTTTACTTGGTCAAGCACACATTTCGGTTTGTTATGACTTTATTAAGTGCACTTTTTTTTCTCAGTAAAATGTAAAAATGTTAAAAAATGACTGAGAAACATCTTGTTCATGCTTCTGTTTTTTATTTAAATAGGCTAAGGTTCCATTACGTATTTATTGTTCAGTCCAATTTATTGCTTCTGTATGAGTATCATTTCTTTAGTGTCAAATAATTAGCTTCAAGTCAGCATATTCAAAAATGACTCGTTTTGGTGGAGAAAATCTTAAGATTGAGTGCGTCCACTGATTCACTGTTTATTCCGAAATGTGTTTTTAAAAATTGTTTTAAATTTTTTTAAAACCCCATTTTTTAATGTTCAAACACATTTGTACTTAAACAAACTTGAGATGTCATTTGCCTTTTGTTTTTGATTCACTAAATATTTTCTAAACATATATGAAACATGCAACTTGAAATTTTTACTACTGTATTTTTGTACCCTTATTATTTTTGTAAAATAAACCATTTACTTGAAATGACCTTGCTTTGTGTTATACATTTTTACATCGTTTGTGTTCGCTTCTGTACTTCGTTGCTTGACCCCATACTTGCTACTGTTGACCAGAGGTGGTGGATCCAGGAGGACACATGACCATTTTTTGCTCTCCTTTGATGTGTCTCTTTGTATTTGGGAGATTATTCAAACGGATTCAATTGTTGACTCTATAGCGCCCTCCTCTCCTGCGGTCGCCATGATTACTGTATTTGTGCCGTTAGTTCGCCTGCATCACTCAGTGATGATCACTGCTGATTTTGGGGACGTTTTCAACGCACTTGCGATTGGCTAACTAGCCACCATGCTAATTAATTATAATTGTTCTCTATAGTGTGCTAATCAGGACCCAGTTGTAGGGTAGAGCGTGATAATATGCGAATTGGGTGTAAATTCTTCTCATCTCTTTACGTGGACCATCGTTTTTTAATAATTTTACCTGTTGGTGGGAATCCAAAGAACTGAATTTGGGTAAACTGATGTCATAATTTGACTGAGGATAGACCGATTGTCGGCACCAATATTTCAATGTTAAGCATATCGGCATGGCCCTTTAAAAATGTGCCTCGGGTAATTCCCTTCACTTACTGTGTTTGCTTGAACTTAGTAAGTGAAACATTCAGTCATACTGACATTTTGTAAAAACTTCTTTTGTAGGGAGATCTTTTTTTTTTAAGTTTTCAATGTACATTCTGAGACTGCTGTGCCTGGGAGCTCCCTGCACTTTTTGTAGGAGTTTTAAAACAAATATATCTATTGTCTAAAAAAAACACACAACAACAACAACTTTAACATGTTGCAAATCTGATAAGCTGATGAATAAACATGCTTAGATGCACTTAAATCAGGGGTCTCAAACTCAGGTCCTGGAGGGCCGCTGTCCTGCATGTTTTCCAAGTCTCCCTGTTGCAACACACCTGATTCAAATGAACAGGTTCAATGTCAGGCTTCTGCAGAGCTTGCTGATGATCTGATCATTTGAATCAGCTGTGTTGCAACAGGGAGACTTGGAAAACATGCAGGACAGCGGCCCTCCAGGACCTGAGTTTGAGACCCCTGACTTAAATGAAGTGTTGGCATTTACCCTTTTTAAAATTTCAACCTAAATATTTTCCTTTTACCATGAACAAATATCGGCTCCAAATAATCCAAAGAAATAACTCCAAAACTACTAAATTGGACCAGGGTGGCATGTATGGCCGCCAATAGTACGGTATTTTTTCATTTTAAATCACCCTTGGACTCATTAGTCATTTTGATCCATATGTGTAAACTTGATATTTTAATAAGAAAACACTTTTTATCTTCGAAAGTATGACAAAAAAATGTAAATACAGTATTGAGCTGCTGTCATAAAAAAAAAAAAAACAAATTTAAAGGAGAAAACAATGGGATAAGACGTTGACGTTTTGAACACCTCACCCAAATGTATATTATACTGTATATTTACAATACTCAATCCCTTTTACTCTGTGGACTTCCCATGACTAAGTTGGAAAACTCATCCATTTATATGCCTGCCAAGGACAACAATGCACTTCCTATCCGTGTGTGTGTGTGTGTGTGTGTGTGTGTGTGTGTGTGGGTGTGTGTGTGTGTGTGTGTGTTTCAACAGAATGATGAGTAATTACACATGTCATTACACAGTAATTACACAAGTCTATTGACTCTTTATTTATGTATTACTGGCACTCTTTAGGTGATTTAATGGGAGAGAGAGAGAGAGAGAGAGAGAGAGTATGTGTGTGTCACTTCCTCACCAGAGTGCGACTCTGTTAGCACGTTAATGTGATCAATAAGCTGAGGTCAGTAAAAGTGCATTCTTGTTTCACTGACACATGACTGTGTCACGATTCCAAAGTAGGGTTTAGGGACAGTTCCAGTGAAGTTACTGTCAATGTGAATCTTTGTTTGGAAAGCAAGCAAACCTGCAGTGTTGGGAAAGATGAGAAAAATTGTTATCGATGTTAGCTACTATTACTGTACTTGATTTTTCAGGAAAGTTGTAAACACACTCACACACACACACACACACACACACACACACACACACACACACACACACACACACACACACACACTAGAGTGTGTCTCCTTTATGATTGGTTGGTGGTCATTGTCCCAGAAGCAGGCCTTCATGTTGCTAATGCATGACTTACTGGATCATTTGTGATTTTTTTTTTTTTTTTAAGGAAATACTATGTTAAAATTAGATTTTGTTTTAATGTTTACACTGACATTTACATTTAATTTGTCAACTAATCCTTTAGATGCTTTTTGTGGGATGATTGAGTGAAGTTCGAATATTTTTTGGTGGTACACTTTGTGTCTCATTAGAAGATATTTGAAGAAATAAATCTAATTTATAATAATCTGAATTATTAACGTGCATAAAGACTGAGGGATGCATGGGCATGGAATTGGGCATAGGCTATGATACTGCATCTCACTGACAGCAATGTGTCAAATAATTTGCTTACCTCAGTTAGTTACATGAGAATCCAGTCTCGTTATGATTGATGCATTACTCTTGCCCACCACTGCAAACTGCGCCTACAATAATGAATATACAGTATTATTCAATTAATATGTTACTGACAATGCCAGGCAAACATGCACATCATTATCTTTTAAAGGCAAACTATTTAATATATCTCTCACAGTAGATTGTGCAGTGAACCGTACCTAATGTTGTAGCTCGCCTGCGTGTGTGTGTGTGTGTGTGTGTGTGTGTGTGTGTGTGTGTGTGTGTGTGTGTGTGTGTGCGTGCATACGTGTGTGTAAACAGGCGTTTCCATTGACATTTCCAGCAAAGGTGGGATGCAATCTACTGCACATTCAGTATGAAATATATGAGTTGCCGGGCGTAACAGACTGTGAAGGGTGTTGGTTTTCAGTCTAGGAATTTCACAATCTATTTCTGGTCCATGAGTAAAGATTTGAGTGGGAGATTTTAGATGTTGGCTTGTTTTTGTTTTTTACCTGACCTACCCAAACAAGGAATAAAGTTAATATCAAACAGTCAAAGTCATTGGTTTCATTTAATTTTTCCCCAAACCACACATCCGACTGCTGGAAAACACTGTTTTTCCTCTTCCACAAAGAGGCGGAGTCATGTCAAGTTTGAGATGAACAATCAAGAATGTAGTAAAAAGAAACGGAAATCCGGAGGTTAGATTATTACACTATTGTATCACAGAATAAAATTCATACGAAGGGAACTAACCCCGACCAATTCTCGAATCACCATTTGTGAACCGAATTACTTGTGAATTTTTTTCTGTAAAACATAAACAGTTCCCTAAAAAGTGTCTATCTGCCCACTATTTCTGTAACACCCAAACGAAAGAGCCATGTTAGCGAAGGGGTAACTGGCTTCCATCACACTGCGAACAGCAAGGTGGTGAACTCCTCAAGGTGTTGAATAGAAAGGTTCGGAGCACTATTGCCAGTAGAGGAATGTAAGAGCTGATCAGCTGCTACCAGCTAACTGCTCAACATGAGGTAGACAAAGTGCCCAACTCAACATGATTTTGTTTGGGAAATAGGCGCCATCCACCCCAACACATCCATCCGTAAAATGAGATTGAAATCATATCTGAATGTTTTTGGTACGTAGTTTGAGGTACATGTCTACATATTTAGGTCTGAAAATTGCAATTGACAGTGAGAATAGTGAGGGATCCCTGTATTGTGAGCCTGATGGTAGTGCATGCAGGCACTAGTGACGAATGGGTTCCGGATGATTCAAACATCATGAAACACTCTGTCAGTAACTTTCATGAATATAGCACAGTAGCGAGAAATCTGCACTACACTGACAGTCTTGAGTTATGGACCGACTGTTGATCATTTGTGATATGTCATCAAGCTGCCTTATCTTACAGAGAGGAAAATACATTTTGGTCTGGCAGTGGGATGAAGGCGGTAATGAGGAGGTCTGCGCTCTCTCTCCTTTGTTGCTGACATGTGGTATGCACTAAATACAGTTTGCTATGCGCTCCATAAGGCAATGAAAAAAGTTGTTTTGTGTTTCATGAGTTCAAAATACAAATGAGTCAGATACATGAAGGATATTTGCAATGAAATGATGACCCAAAAGTTTAAAGTTAAAAAGAAAATAAACTCATTGCAATGCAACACTTTTGACTCATTCCAGAGTAAATATTGAGAAATTCTTCCGAGAAGTGGTCCGACAGGCCCAGTGATCATAGATATCAGAGTTATAGGTCAAAGTGAAGCTGAAAAGTGTCAACATTAATTATTGATATGGATACTACATGCAAACATTGACACAACAAAGAGACCTGTACATAGATTTTTTCCTCAAAGTATAAATTACTTATTAAATATGTACTGTATGCATATTACTGAATAAAACGTCATAAATGAAAAAAATGTGAGTTGAGGGATTTAATTGATGACATGCATAGTATTATAATAATAATAATAATAATAATAATAATAATAATAATGATTAAAAAAACTCACAAAAAATACTTTGCCACAGAGAGATGGTCAGTATTCTGTTTAAACAGCAGACGTGATATTGGAAACAATTGACATCTCGATTCATTCAAGTGCAACGTGACTATTGTGACCACTAACCCCATAAAGACTGAAGAAGCTTTTCCGAGAAAACCACTTTTCAAAGTGGAAATTCAACATCTGTCGCCTCCACCTTTTCAAAAAAATAAGCATTAAATAAGACCACCCTTGAAAAGCGTGTGTCGACCAAGAGCCCAGTGTGTGTCCAGGAACAGGCCAGCAAGAGATGGTCAGTGCAAATACATGAGAACGTGCAGATACCAGAAGAGGAGTCGTTTTGGGAAGTGATGTTGGAGGTCATTCAGGGGGGGATTAGGGTGGAGTGTTCTTCAGGGGTGAGTGTCACACAGTGGGAGGGTTGGCCTTGGGCTGTATAAATACAAGACAGAGATGCTCACTGAGACAAGTGTGTGAAGATTCTTCAAGACACAGACTCTTGATAGGAAAACCTAAGATGCCGCATTACAGGGGTGAGTCTATCTATCTATCTATCTATCTATCTATCTATCTATCTATCTATCTATCTATCTATCTATCTATCTATCTATCTATCTATCTATCTATCTATCTATCTATCGCTCTTTACATCTGTCGTGATGTAAAGTAATCCGAGCTTTGTATGTCGTTAGGTGAGATTTTGGATGTGGACCTGAGATGTCGTGACAACAACTTGGCTCACCACACCGGGGAGATCGATCGTGAGCGCTTGATTGTGCGAAGGGGTCAGCCCTTCGTCATCTCAGTGCCGTGGTCAGAGTCTGCGCTCCATGAAAACTCCCTGGCTTTGGTCCTGCACCTTGGTGAGTAAAGTTGCGGTCCTGAACTCAATTGACTGGTGGGTTTGAAGTTCAGCCATTTGTAGAGGTCATGGCCATTAGCTGTAATGCGACTATTTAAAGAGGAATTTAAAAAAAAGAGTGAATCATAGCTTGTTATATCAGATCAATAACTCTGATGTTCGCTATCACAATACTGTATTCAAATAGTCGCGAAGCATAAAATGTATCCCGCTGACAACGATGTCTGAAGTGGGATCTTGGTGGATGCTTTGGTTTCACGGTCAGTCATGCCAATAGAAAATCCATTTCATTACTGTGACAACAGTGTTAGAGTTTAGATGAGGCACTTCTGATGTATTTACATTATTTCTCATTTGTTGTTCGTTCAGGCAAGCGAGATGAGGTGGTGATCAGGGTTGAGAAGGGCGGACACAACAAAGATGGTTGGTGGTTTAAGCAGGAGGGAAGACATGGAGAAGTGCTGCTGACTCTCCACAGCCCAGCGGACGCCATCATCGGCCATTACCGCCTGGACGTGTTGATGACATCACCCAGTGGACATGTGCTTGAGAAGAAAGAGAACATTAACTTCCATCTGCTTTACAACCCATGGTGCAAAGGTAAAAAAAATATATATATACATACATATACACACACACACACACACACACACACACACACACACACACACACACACACACACACACACACTGGCAGTGTACCTGGCTGAAAATGCTTATTTTGCTCTTGATAAATCTCATGAGGATATTTTGATATTTTGTCCATGTGTGCCGTAGATGATGCTGTGTACATTCCCGATGAGAAGCTCGTTCAGGAATATATCATGAATGAGAATGGGATCATTTATGTTGGCACCTCGGACTACATCCATAGCCGCCATTGGCACTTTGGACAGGTACGTGCATATGTGTGAATTGTCGCAGTTGTGTAACAGCACAGGCTGTCAGCGTCATTATAAATTGTGCTTGTCGGATAGAGTAAGCTCCTCGAGTGAGGGTGTCAGAATGTAACCAGACCACACAAACAAAAGTGTCACCCTTTTGCAGTTTGATGGGAAAGCTATTAATCTGTCATGTCAATTATTCTCTCCTATTTGCATCTTTTTTTGGTCACAGTTCGAAGATAATGTGATGGACATCTGTTTTGAAATCCTGGACAACTCCAATGATGCCTTGAGAAACTCAGAGAAGGACTTGAAACAAAGGTGGGACCCGGTCTACGTTGGCAGGATCATCTCTGCCATGGTGAGGACAACATCAACGACACACTTTTCTCTTGATGTCCCTGCAACTAAAGTCATATGGGATAGTCTCCAGCTCACCCATTATTCAATATTAGGAGAGTGCAGACTTTGATATTCTGTACACGTGTCCAGGTAAACTCCAACGGTGATCGGGGCGTGTTGGTGGGCCGCTGGCAGGAGCCGTACAGTGATGGAGTCTCGCCTTCCAAATGGACCAGCAGTGTTCCGATCCTCCAAAAGTGGAGCAATGGCAGAGCCAGGCCGGTCAAATACGGCCAGTGTTGGGTCTATGCTGCTGTGGCCTGCACGGGTGAGCCTGTGAAACATCTCCAAAAAATTGGCTTGCAAAGAATTGAGAGCTGGAACTAGTGCCTTAGTCACAGAGCGTTATGATTACCGGTATTTGGCTTTCGGGGGAAATCTTAGGATGAACCTAAAATGTACAAAGTTCTATTACTTTTACAGGTCAACGTAGTTTGATTGCATTAACGATTAATAAACGATTACATTTCTAAGGAAGCCCACTTCTTGGCCCTACTGTGACACTTCCTTTTGTATCTCTGTGGAAAGTGCTTTGAGAACATCCTGTTTAAAACCTGAGTTTGTTGTGTGTTCTCGACAGTACTGCGTTGCCTGGGAATCCCAACACGTCACATTACCAACTTTGCTTCAGCTCATGACACTGATGGAAACCTTTCTGTGGACTTCCTGTTCAATGAAAAAATGGAGAGTCTTGATTCAAGAGGAAGGTCCGACAGCAGCTGGTAGGAAAGCAATCACAAGTTCACTTCAACAGATCGAGTCTTCCATCATGGCATTATTCGTCATGCACATTTCTTTCGACCTGCCGTGTTAGGAACTTCCACTGTTGGGTGGAGTCTTGGATGAAGAGACAGGATCTTCCACAGGGAAATGATGGCTGGCAGGTTTTGGACCCAACTCCTCAAGAATTAAGTGATGGTACAAATCTTTTTCATCTTGTCAACTTTGTTTGATTCAGGAGATTTTGACATCCAAACTGAAAATAAAATTATAAGACATTTTACTTCTCAGGGGAGTTCTGCTGTGGTCCATGTCCCGTGACAGCCATCAAGGAGGGCAATCTGGGTGTCAAGTATGATGCTCCGTTTATATTTGCTGAGGTGAACGCTGACATCATACACTGGATTGTCCGAAGAGATGGCCAACGTCAGAAGGTCAGCATATATTTATCCTTATCTATCTGTGAAAGTCTTTTATGGATTTTATTTAAAACAAATGATGATGCTTAATGTTCCAGATCAGAGTGTCTCAGGACAGTATTGGCGTAAACATAAGCACCAAAAGTGTTTTCAGCAACAGCAGAGAAGATGTCACTTCACATTACAAATATCCGGAAGGTTAGTGAACATTGTTGTCGCAGTTGCCTCGAAAAATTAATGGAGTTACCTTACTGATCACTTGATTTTAAAATGAACTAGATTAGAATGAATTACTGTACTTTTTTAGTTACATTTAACAAATGCCAACAACCCGCTTAACACAAAATCGACAACCGGTTCTGCCAGTATTTCATTGTAAGTGAATTTTTAACAGGGATGTTTGAGAATATATCTGTGATTTTTTTTCAATTACAAATAATTTTTTTTTAACTTTTTTGATTTAACAGAAATAAAAATTTTTATTTATAAAATGAGTCTATGGATTTCACTCACAGGCTGCATGTTTTTATTTTTAAAAAATCACTTACCCTAATTATTTTTTTAAAGGAAGTCCGTTTTGGCCTGACATATTAAACTGGCAAAGCTTAATGTTTATAATGTATATATGTATATAGTATATGGAGGTTAAGGATAGATTTCATGGGGCTAATCCAGAGCACTGTCAATAACAAAAATACTGCATACCGCAGAGAACAGGATTTCACCTCTGGGAAATGAACACAATTATCAAAGGCAAATTCACATCTTCTTCTTTTCCTCAGGCTCCAAGAAAGAGAGAGAGGTGTACGAGAAGGCGGGACGTCGAGGCAGAGAGCCGTCCACTGACAGGACAAAACCAGGCAAAATGCAGATGACCATCAAACATGCCAAACCTGTATTCGGATCAGACTTTGACGTCATTGTTGAGGTATGAGGAGCTTAGACAGTGATAAATGAATATTCCAGTGACACACTAGCAGCACTGTGCAAAAAAAGCCTCCAGTCACTTTGACATGACATCACAGTAAATATAGGCCTCATTAATGTCATGAATTGGGGTTCAATTGGAAATTGATGTGTAAAGTTAGTCATGCAGTCTTAGGAATGGTTCCACGGTCCATTTCACTCCATTCTGTGCTATAATTAGGTATCTGATTCAAATGTGTTTAGTATATTAGGGGAAGTCGCTGCCATTATTTCAAATGGTGACGAAGTCTAACGATAACCTATGTTGCTTGCACAGCACTGTCGATAACATAAATTTAGGGTTAGTGTTGTTTCTCATGAAACCATAGCAACATAATCATACATCCAAATGGACCGGTTCAATTTGCAGTTGAAGAATGACGGAGGAGTCCAAGCTGAAGCTCGTCTGACCATGCTGGCCAAGGCAGTAACATACAACTGTTTAAACCGAGGAGAGTTTGAGAGACAAACCAAGAATGTCTCTGTGCCACCCCACAAAGGTTGGTAATTTAAAAAACATGCAAGTGGTACCTTGACTTGCATGCGTGTCGAGAGGGGACGTTGCAGAGTAGGCAAAATCTTTACAATGTACCATCACTTTAATGTGTGTGTTCAGTTCACAAGGAGGTGCTGCGCGTGCGGTACGCTGACTATGCCAAGTGTGTCTCTGAGCACCATGTGGTCAAGGTGATGGCGCTCCTGGAGACCCAGGGAGAGAATGAACCGGATATGGCCGTGGCCAAAATCCCACTCAGCTTGCCTGAGTTGCTTGTAGAGGTGCGTGAAGGCTAACAGCATGCACGTTGGCCAGGTGTGACTTTCTCTCTCTTACAAATTGCGGATCCCTTAGGATCAGTACTGGTCTGTGCACGGTTGGTTGTGGACGTCTGGTTTAGAGACTGAAGAAACGTATCCATCAAAGCATCACACGACTTTGTTCAATTGTTGTTATGCAGGTTCCTAGTAAGGCAGTTGTACATCAAGCGGTGACAGGCTCCATCTCCTTTACCAACCCTCTACCGGTGCCACTGAGGCGGGGAGTTTTCACCGTGGAAGGGGCAGGCTTGGTGTCCCCGACTGAGGTCAAGATGAAGTGAGTACAGACTTGGAAAAAATACGAACCCGTGACTTCATTACCTTAGCACCTTTCCAAACATCTAAAATTTTATTTTATCTTCTTCTCTTTCAGCGGTGAAATTGGCCCAGGTCAGAAAGTGTGCGTCAAGCTCACCTTTACCCCCGCGCGGGCTGGCATGAGGAAACTGCTGGTGGACTTTGACTCAGACCATCTCCAAGACGTGAAGGGAGCCGCTACACTGATTGTTGGCCAATATTTCTAGCCACTGGTTTCGCTGTAAAACATTGTGACAGTTATATTTTCTGCTAAGTATCTGAAGTAGAAGCATCACCAAAAAAGGTTTTATGCTCCTACTTCGTTTGCCTTATAAAGGCATCTAATTTCGTCCATGACCTGTATTGCAAAATTTAAAAGACGCACAAATGACCACTGGTAAAATAATCAAAATTCTCCAAGCTGCAGCAGCATTATGTATCACAAATCAAATCAAATGTATTTTTGTATGCTTGGTTGAACTGATTCATGCGCACTATTCCATGATGATGAGTGTGCAAAGCTAAAATGCATGATTTACTCAGGATTCTTTTAATAAAGATTGTTTCTTGCACTGATTACATTGAGTGTTTTATATTTTGACTCTTACTGAGACATCAGAGAGGTTAATGTATTTTGCAAAGCATTTCAAGGAGACATGCACCCATCCATTTTTGTTGCGCTTGTACTCAAAGTGAATTTTAATTATACATCCTGAATGATGCCAGAGAGAATTTTCAAATGCTGTTTTGCCATTCTCTAACCTCTTTAATTAAGACCTCGTGTCTCTCAAGTGCATAAACAGTCAAGAGGTCTTCAAGGCCTGAAGCGTTGCAATTTTGTATCTTTTTTTTCATCCTGTTAATGTAAATGGAGAGAATCCTTAATTTATTTTTTAATTTACTCCACTGCTAATCACACACAAAAACTAAGGTGGACCTTAAGCACAGGTGGCAAACTCCGGTCCTTGAGTACCACTATCCTGCACGTTTAAGATATTTTCCTCCTCCAGCCAACCTGATTCAAATGATCATCTTATCAGCAAGCGCTACAGGAGCCTGATAGCGAGGGTAAAATCCCAAAGTAGAAGCACTTGAGGCCCACAGGTTAGCAAGCGTAAACACTTGAGTCGTCCCGAGTGCTGACATTTGTGTCATCCATGTGGCAAATGCCTCATTACAAAGTGAAGACGTGCTTTTGGATGCTTGAGTGAAGGGAACATTTTCAACTTTGCACCAGCCAGCCGCTCAAGACTATCATCTTTTAAATTCATTCAGGCTCATTTAGTCAATATAAGAACAAATAGGAAGGGTTGGTTTATGCGACACCTTCTTCAAGTGCTGTTTATTGTCCCATCTTTAGAAATTGATATAAAAACAACTGTTGTGTGGTTGATGGTGAAAGGATGCCATCCATGGAAATCATGCTTCTTTTTTTTTCACACCTTCAACATGACTTTTATGACGCCCACCACTTGTCATTTAATTTCGGAGTGATTTATTGTTTTAACTTAAAAGTGGTTACCTAATTTTAAATGAGTACGCTTCTTGATTTTTAAAAATATTTATTATATAAAATATATGATACATTACTGTACTATGTAATTGAGTTGCCTTGATATTTTATATTATTCGTACAATGTATGGTTGCTTTCGTTTCTCTTTCTGTACAGTATTTTTATAGTTCTGCGATAACCACGTGATCTCGGTTGTGTAGCACGTCTGACGTCTTACGTTATTTGTATTGCGTCTGATGTAATTTCCTTTTAGTCACGGCGCGAGCTTCGCATTTGTGTTACCCTACTACTGGAATAATTCAGAAGGGAACCGGCCATGTTATTATTCGTATTCCATTTGTTTGCCAATATCAAGGGAGTTGATGGTGAAGTACCTTAGAATTCAGCTTGAAGAACTTCCAACGACTACAATAGTCGGGACAGTACGGTAGCAAGCGTCGCAGCCTGAGCTCCCTTGAAACTTCGAACAAATCCACTTATACTAAACATCCTATCGACTTTTGCATGGACTATGCGCATACGCAGGACTCTCAATCCGCAGGGGGGGGGGGGGTCTTGGAATTATGAATTTGTCTGTATAAACAATCTATTATTATAAATAGTTTAATGAGGTAATACTTACATTTTGCATCATAAATCTGTGTCTGTGCTTTAAAAAAATTCCGACTTCCGCCCTGAGCTGAACCTGAGACTTCTGAGCATATGTATTAGAAATATATACATGAACTGAGCATATGTATTAGAAATATATACATGAACGGAGTACATTTCATTTCCTTTAATTATTATAGTATCTGTACACTAAGTATAGTGGCTACACACTCAAGAACGATTAGTGTTACTTAAAACACTGCCTGTACAGCTAAACCAGATTGTAGTTGAATTAAACTTGTAACAGTGATCAAAATTCTAAGGTTTAGGAATTTAAAACTATTTTTCAAACCGAACAAGACTATTAAAGTTCCACTGCATTACCATGGGTCAGTCTTTGAGTCAAGTTCCCTTTTTTAAAAAATACATATTTTGCATTGACATTTTAGGTCCACTGTGCACGGACTCGAATGACCTAATTTAAAGCTTCATAATACTTCTGCATGTTTAGTACGTTTCTTCCATATTTAGGGAATTGTTTTATTTTATTCGTGGGACATGTTTGTGGGCATTATTTATTCAGAATCATCTTTATTGGCCAAGTATGTAAAACACACAAGGATTTTGATTTAACTCCAGCACATTGTCTGAGACCAAATAGGGGCTTTCATGTAGCTGTTTTCTGTGGGGCGCATTAGTTGTATCCCAGCAGTTTTAAACATTCTCCACTAGAGGGAGACAGACGTCCGCCTTTGGTAAAGATGGTTTCGTCTGCACCGTGCAACTGTCACCTCATTGTGAAGTCGTTCGAGGCCGACTTTTGAGAAATATGATCTTACATTTTGTTTTACTATGCGACCACATCAAACACGCTGTTCTGGCAATGACTAAGATATTGAAAGGAGTTTATCGGTAATTGTCTTGTATGTCAGGATGGCCGAGCGGTCTAAGGCGCTGCGTTCAGGTCGCAGTCTCCACTGGAGGCGTGGGTTCGAATCCCACTTCTGACAGATTTTTTTTTTTTTTACTCGGTTGACGCGAATTTTTGGATTCCAAAAATCATTATTACATTGGCTTCAAACGCGTTGAGGTCTGAACTGGGAATATTCGAGTGGGACCAGGTATTCCGATTTCCTATCTTCTTCGAATGCAGCATCTACCCCGTGGTTGGCCAATTTCGAAAGGGCTGCACGTCTTAACATTGACACGGGAGGAAGTGAATAGGAATTCATGTTAAGAAATATTTTTGGGGGCGTAAATAACAAATAATATTATATAATGTGTTAATACATTATTGCTTATACTTTCATTATATGTGTTTCAAATAGTGGGGAAAAGTTGAAAATGAAAAGTACATGTATTTCAGTGCGTGCCAAATAAACTAAATTTAAGAAATCACTTTTTGAAAGACAAAGAGATCAAATATCATTTGCTTTGGAAATATATTTGTTTGAGTAAAACATGAGCAGCAGCAATAAAGAAGTACAGTCGGAGGAATAAATGATGTTAAAAGTGAAAAATATATTTGTGCAAAGTAAGTCTCTGATACGATAATTAGATGAGTGGTTTAAAACCATACGCCACTAGGATGTTAGCTACAGACCAAGGCCAAAGAGAAAATCATGGAGGTGTGTACTGCACCTTTATGGATCAAACTTGAATAGGTTCATCATTAGTCTTGTGCCAGCCAACCCCATCTACAAACTTTCAGGGAATCAGTTAGGCCATGTGTGCCTTAGAAAAGTGTCTTAACACTCGCATGACCAAGAGGTGATGCTCTGTTTCCTTTTGGCCTGCCCTCCTCCCACTTTTCAAACATTAACAGGTGGAGAGGCCTCGGTGAATCATATGGGAGGAGTCATAGGGAATTAGCAGCCAGCGGCAAACAGCAGGAGGATGGCACTCTATATGCAACTGTGTGTGTGAGAGACAGACAGACAATATTTGAACCTGTAAGTTTCATTGAATACCCTGATTTTTTTTTTTTTGTCTGTGTATTTGTCTTTTAGCTTGTTGGGCTTCTTTTTAATTTTTCCAGTGGAGACTTCTCTTTCCATTTTTTATTGTTTTGTTTTTTTAAATTGATTTAGCCGAATATGACAGACTTCCCTTCCAAGGTTACCACAGAGACCGGGTCCCCCAACTCCCAGAACACTCAGCAGGGGGGCAACAGCCTCAGAGGGCTGGCATCTAATGTGACCACTAGCATGGACATGTCTTTCATCAGGAGCATCCCATCTATCCTCATGATGGCTCAAATAGTGAGTGATTCGGATGGTTCACATCATCCTTTGTTTTCCCATTTGAGGTGGTAAAAAAATTGGAATCGTGGGTTTAAATTACAAAGTATGTGTGACAAACAGCAACATTTGAGGGTCCTCTTTGGTTCTTGTCAATTTGTGGTACTCGAGGCTTATCAAGAATAAATAACACCACTCACTACTTACATCAATGTTCGATTGTAAGTTTTCAAATGAGTTTGATCAATTAAAAGGGATGATGCTTATGTTTATGTTTGGATTGCATATATCAGCGTAGCGTATCAATGTACTGCACAGTGGAACCTCTCGGGTCAAAAACACTCTGTTCCTTGACACGGGAAGAGGAAATAGAATGAATCTGTATAAATGGTATATTCTTTCTCTCTTTACTCCCCAATACTGTCTTTGTTTGGGAAAGTTGTTGCCAAGAACAGTTACACAAATCCAAAGAAAAAGCAGAAAAGTCAACCCTTTGAAGCCTTCTCAACTAAGATGTCATGAGACAGGCTGATGTTTCGCGTGGCTTCACCTCTGATGGAAGTCTATCGTTTGGGATTAAGTGAAAAAAAACAGATTGAAAGTAAAACAGAGGTGCGTAAACCTATGAGATTCACAGAACTGAGCTCTGGTGAGTTATGCTGAGGTCCTGTGTGGCATAAACGTTGGACTTCTGCAGCATTCGAATTTTACAGCTCCACTGTAGATTCATTGTTTGACCGAGTTAATGGAAAAGCCACATAATGTGACAACAGCAAAAGATGATAAGATAACCGAGGAACAGTATTGATTAAGAGTGTTTTCTAATGGAATTGGAATGTGGAATCAACAAAGATAAGGAAATCCCAGCAACATAATTAAGGTGGAAAGTTTGTTCTTTTCGATTGCAGAATGCAGTGGTGGCGCATAATTACTGTGTATATTTTGCACCAAGTACCACCTAAGAAAATATGATCAAATGATCGACTTTAAAATACAGCAGCAAATTAGGCCTTAGTGACCATCAATAACTACAGATGTTTTATTACTAAAAAGAATATTTATAAGCCAATGGAACATTTTGCAGAATTTGAATACTAAAATGCTCCTGAGTTAAATAAGCACCGCACACCAAAATTGAATAAATATGATGCCTAAATAATGAAAACATACTGTACTGTACTTGTAAACAAAAAAAAATGTACTGCACATAAAAAGTAAAACATGTACAGTACTA